CAATTTGGATGGTTCGTCCTTACGCATCCATATCGTTTCAGTATTGTCTAGTGTGCAACTATTGAATATACAACCTTTAGTTCCATTAAAAAACAACATCATTATGCCTTGACTTTTATACCTTGATACATGGTTATATATTCAAAACAACTAAAAATATTATAATCGTCCCTGGTGGAAATGCTTATTTGTTTCTCAGATTAATGCAGTTGCATTGAACGTGTTCTTATTTCTCCCCGAAAGACTCAATGAGAGAACGCCAACAATAAAACCAAATAGCATATGACCAAGGACCATAATATTTTTACGCTTAACCTAATAGTCAAGGATAAAATTAAGTATATAACATACCGACCGTCACAGGGTGATCGAACAAGGTCGCAATCAATTTTGAAAAATCAGACAAAGCAATGCAGTTTAAGAACAATAAATCTTTGTTCAATTTTTGATTAGTTTTAAAAGACAATCTTTAGTTTACATTGTAGGTTTACGAGTTAGATGAATGAATTGCTGAGTGTTCAAATAAATACCTTTTACTTTTTATGCTTAACTCTTACACGAACCCAAAAAATGCGAGTCGTCTGTAGGGCAAAGTATTATGTATATGTTTAGACAGTAAACATGTTTGTCAGATGCCCCTGATAATTTACGCAATTTATATCAGTTCACGCTGTATAATCGTATACCCAGAGGATGTGGAATATGCTGTTTCGTGACGTTTGAAACAAAACAGATACAATTATGTCAAATGTTACATTTTCTGAATGGATAGGCTAACACAAAGAAACGGAACCGATCTGCATAATCAATATTCCAGGACATTATTACCAGGTGGACAGCATCACAGAAAATGTTAGAACCGAGTAACTTAATTTGATTCGACATCAATAAGTTTAGAGTTTAAATGATTTGTTTTTCTGTCATGGCAATATATTGTAATCACTGATTACCAATCTGGTTCTCGTAAACTTGAAATGAGAGAGTTATAATGAGTTTGTGTGTGAGACAGTGAAAAAGAAAGAAAAATAGGATTCTCATCCCATTATTGACATGACTTTAGCGTGAGGCATCATATATTTACAACAATCTCTTGTTTAGATTTTAACCATTTTCGTGAGTATTCTTTCTTCTATAGTGTTGGAGAAAAGGAAATAAACATAAAACAAACGATAATTGTTTTGGTTAAGTAGTTTTCATCTCGTATCCATTTCTATGCTTTTCTGCATGGTATATACTCAGTATGCATACAATAACAGGATTTCACGTCTTGTGTGAATGTTGAGTAGATGGTCATAAATTTCGCGTTTATACTGGCTGCAATAAAACGATATTTTGTAACGTTGATCAATTAATTTACCCTTTCAAGACGTGAATTAACAGTTTTTAAAGATAATTGACTCGCTAAGTTATCTTGCCAGTGATGTGTTTGTCAGCCATTTAAAAACACAATGTATTGCCAGTCTTGCCTATATTGATGTTTCATTGAAATAGTTTTTAACGTTTCAATACACATAAGCATTGCAATATCCTGTGTAATGCCAAACTAATTGTTGTCTCAAATCACAGTTCTTAGTAACATAAGCATTTGAATACGATTCATATTGAGAGGAAAGGACGCTTGTTGGTAAAGGGTGAATAAAGCTTTCAAGGAGTCGGTGCAGCGACATAATTGGTATTTGATGACAGAATGGGTATTTGACGACAGAACTGGTATTTGATGACACAATTCTTATTTGACGACAGGACTGATATATGTTGACAGACCCTGTTTTTGGTAACTCGAGTGCTTTTTAATGACAGGATTTTTATTTGATGACATAATTTCATTTTTGATGACATCACTGTTATTTGATTAGAGGAATGGTATTTCATGACACAATAAATTCCGATCATAAAGTAGGACTCATTTCTTATCATGGTACAAATAATGATGTACATCACATTGTGAAGTCGCCATTCTCTATCTTTTTCTATGTTGTTACCAAATACTGAAATACGTCCACAGGAAAAGAAGCTATCAGCTATGTATTTTGTCATATGTTTAGGTACACAATGATCTGTTTTTATCCATGTGTTTAGGTACACATTTATCTTAGTTACAATGGTATCTCTGATGTAAATAGTAATGAATTTTGATCGTTTAGAAAGGATGTGTCTTAATTTATATTTTAAACATTTGCTACTTGCGTCACTAAGCAACAAGATATTTTCAGGAACTATGAAAATTGATATATTTATTTCTTTATTTATCCTGCGCATTACACGACTATTATTTATGAATCCTTTTACAGTTTTATATTATATCCATTAAATGAAACCTTAAAAGAATGTCTACTAGAAACAATCTTCAGACAAACATTGGTCTTTCAAAATAACTCAAGTCGGAGCAATTTTGCGTTTCGATATAGTGCATTTTACCACTGAGAAAGACGGTAACAAAGCAAAAAAAAAAATCAATAAAACCTCCGATGGTCATAGATCAATATAAACTGATAAAACTCAGACTACTCGTTTGTATCTGTAAAAGCAAATATTTTGTTGCATAAATCTCAACAAATTATTTTATTTGAGGGAAATGGTCTTGATAAAGATTTGTCTAGACTTAATTTCTTTTTACTGGTCACTTGAGTATTCCAATTGTAAAAACGTTAAAAAGTTTTAATATTTTAAAAGAAAGATGTGACTGAAAATTATTTAAACTTTCTGCCGGTCTTAAAAAAAAAACAAACCTTTACTGAGTATGACTTCCCCAGTATACCATCTCGAGTTTGTACTCTAAGCATTCCCAATATCGATCCACACATCTGCTGAGCGATGTGTCTATGCGAGAAAATATGCAACAATTTGAGTGACAACGATGCAATAGGAATAATATAAATAATTTACTTGAGCGAATCACTGATCGGAATATTGATAGTGTGGACAAATGTAATAGTTAAATATGTATTGTACTGGTGTGTTTGTTTACATATTAGTTACATTTGAATACAACAAGCAATATTGGCTATGCCAATCCGATCAATGTTAAATTGTTTTAAATCATTTAGGTTAAAATGTATATTTGATCAATAATTAAGGTTTATGTCGACGATCGCGTTTTCCTAGTCTTGTATAACCACATATAAAAAGTACATCATATTGTCTAAATGTGTACCATAGTTTGACCTATTTGACCTGTTCATTGAACATGTGGTTATCTTAACTGTTAGGGCATATCGACAGCATAAATAAATATTATGTTGCACATACGAAATGCAAGGAAATATTGGTATCCTTTACTGTGCTTAAGCCGGAGACTGGTAAAATCACAACTGAAATATGTCCTTTATGTATATCCATATTTTGTTTTTTTCCTATCTAAACAAGCATCACTCATATTGTAAAGGGCATTTAAAAATTTGTGCAATGTGTGAATTTATATAGTGTCCTTTGAAATGGTAGAATATAATTGTAAAGAAGATGAGTGGCAGCGGTCATTTATTTGCCTAGATGGTGTCGAATTTGGATAACATTAAATACTAATGCATATGTTAAAAACCTATATTAAAGTTTATTTAGCGCTTGGTCTGTCAAAACGAAAATACAATACAAAGTCGAAACAAAATTTATTATTGTTTTACGCAACGACTTGCAACCAATCAATCTGCTACTTTATCAAATTTCTCGTGTGATTTTGTTTTAAAGAATATAAACATTTTTATAAAACTTTACTGCAATCTATCACATATGCTATATGAATACATTATGCTGCACTACTATGTATATACTAACGTATTGAGCTGAGGATTTCTCTTATCAACTAAGGGGCCTGTCCGATACGTTATTCTGGTCTCCATGTTTGAATATACGGCGAAAAAAATATTGCTAACAAATTAAACACATGTAATATTATTAAAAACAAAACATTCCTAAGAGGGGAATAAGAGTAAAGTACAAATTATGCAACTTTGGGGATTATCCAATTTAAAAGAAAGTTCGAACATAAAAAACACAATATTATTTTTAATTTGGAATCCCATTGCGAATTAAGGAATGAGAATTCTTGTTTTGCGGCCGTGAAAAACAGTCAACTGTGGGTGGAAAATATAAAATTTCATACACAGCTGACACGCATTGAGAATTGTTACGAGCCAACGCTCTTTAAATATTAACAGTAAAGAGTGGAAGATAACAAGCTTAGTGAAATTTAACAAATGCAAGATATTTCACTAGAATACAAAGTGAAAAGGAGCAAAATGAGAACATGTAATATTGCAAACTGAATTTCAAAATAAAACAAGAGCTAGATCAGACAAGCAATTTAGTAATTTGAGTTCCTGAATAAAACTCAGAATATATCACGAATATAAATTACAGCAAATGTTTTATCCATGAACTTAATCAGAGCACATTTGTATTTCCACACATAATATATATATATATATATATATATATATATATATATATATATATATATATATATATATATATATATATATATATATATATATATATATATATATGTGTGTGTGTGTGTGTGTGTGTGTCCGTGTGTGTGTGTATGCGTGTGTCACAATTTGCATTTTCTAAATATATCTTAACCTAATGGAATATAACCTTTTAAAATGATCCTGATGTGTACAAAATATTATGGTGGATTATGTATGATTCACTTAGGAAATTCCAAGACTTTGACGCAAATAAACATGTCCACTTTTCGTTTGCTAATGGTCAAGACATTAAGCCCATACTCATAGAGAATAATTTAAATATGTTGAAACAAATAAAAGTCAATCAGGTCAAGCAGAAAGGAACTCAATTTTGGACAATGTCAAGCCCAGAATACAATGTTACTTTACAATATCATAACATAATACAACACAACTGACAAACAAAAAATTAAATTAAATATACATAATATAATGAAAACATTATTGCAAAAAACATTAACATAAAACATTAAAAAATATAACTAATGTTTGTTTAAAGCACATATCACACATACTCACTATATATAAGACCGCTCTAGTGGCCTAGTGGTTAGAGCGTCCGCCTTGAATGGGGGATGTCACGGGTACAAGCCCAGCCGAGTGATACCCCCAAAAAATGGTACTAATAGCTGCCTCTCTTGGTTGTCAGCATTAAGAAGTAGTGTAAGTATAATGTGACTGGGTGGGGCAACATGACACATGTCTACGGCATTATGCCCCAGCGTTAGAAATCAGAATAAACTGTCACACTGCAGACATCGTTGCCATACATCACGGACACCGCATCACATATAAGCTAAGATTTCTGTACAGACTTTTCAATTTATGGAGATAAATAGTTAAATAACTAAAGTTATCAAATGTTTCCTGAATCATTTCAAACGTACACAAAATATCTGAAATGATAGAAAACACTAATTATGATTCTTCAGTCGAAATTTTAAAATTACCATCCCCACATCTTCTTTAATTTTAATGTCATGGTAATTCTCTGGGATAAATGACTAGGTGTGCTTGTTCGGCTAATACGTTAACACCCAATATGTCAGATGTTAAGACATGACGCTGCATTGCGGACTTTTGCGTACTTACATTTATTCATAACCTATAACGTTAATCACGACACAGACATGTTCTAGTCAAAACAGATGTACAAAGAATATAATCTTGTCACAGGGTTTAACTGGAGTTTGGTTGTGTTTATCTCGAAGTAATAAACCTGAAGATCATAATTATGGACATAATAATCAGATATAAATATCCAATAAATTATCTGGGATTTAATGAAAAAGAAAAGCACGAAAGACTATTGTCATGAAATTATGCTTCGGTACCGTAATTGTCATGCGTACAAAATCTTCGTGTACAATTGTCTTTCTTACATTTTTGTACCTTACATACAGGTGCTAAAAATTTCTAACTGAGCTGCAGTATAACATATCCATCATAAAATGTGAGGCTGTTTGAGGTCGACATAAAATAACTTACATGTTGTTGGTGTATAAATGTCAAGCATAAATGCATGCTATAGTAGCCTTTATGACCAGGAAAACTAGTTATATTCAAAGTGGACACATATGTAAAAAGACAACTCTGGTTGGATTTTCAAACTGGACATATCTCATATGTAATAAGACAACTCTAATTGGATAGCGCACGTTAATTACATTTTACATTTGTCGGATCTCAATGTGCCGATAAGACCAGTGGGAGAAATTTGCTGACATGCCTTCTGTTACTGAGTGTCAATTTATATCCCTTAAATACAAAAGGAAACTATCGTACCATCATTTTTTCCGCTTTAAATTTTCACACATCAAGGTGATAGTCTCTTTGATATTGTGTGTTTGCTACAGATACTCAGCGAAATCATTGCAGATTTGCACATATATGGACATGTATTTACCTTTGTGTTGCCCTCCTACGCACTTTGATAAAAGGAACAAAGAAATGTGTCCATGACTGTCTACGGTAGACGCTGGTGTTACATATGATCAATAAGCTTTGCAATGATTTCAAAAAGAAGTCAGTATATGGTTCATTGTCATTCAAACGACTGCTTGATGAGATAAACCCATACATTCTAACATTAATACACTGTCTAAAGTTGACAAATGAGACATTTTCCTTAAAAGCAAAGCTATACAACTCTTTGGAAAAAATGGAGATAGGTTTCATCTCATTGTTTAATATTTTCAAAACATGACATGTTATTGCAACGACAGATGAATCTAGTGTTGCAATACGATTGCAATTATTATCCACCGTAAAAAAAACAAAAACGACTGCGCTACCCACGGCTCTTGCTCGTTCAGAATATATCCTGCAGAAAAGCTAATTTGACCAGACATTCATCTAAATCTTAGCACATTAATGGTGCATGATTATACACGATTGTTGTCTGTTTCCTAAGTATACTGGAATCTACGATAAAGAAGGAAGTGATGCCGATATATGTATCATCTATTTAATGTATAATATTCTTTTATTACATATCATTTGGCTTACAACATTAATATTTTCTTTAGATTCCGTGTACCTACACTACGTTCGTCAAGTACACAACTAGCAAGCCAAGCATTGACTTAAATCCAAGTCACGAAATATCACGTGAAAGAAGGGTTGCTTTTGCCTTGTAAGAGCTAACATTTAGGCCCTGGTTATTGATTGGTTCATTAGTTTGAGAACATCATACAATGACTGTTATATATATATATATATATATATATATATATATATATATATATATATATATATATATATATATATATATATATATAGATAGATATATATATATATATATATATATATATATATATATATATATATATATATATATTAAAATCATAGGATTTATGTGATCCAGAATCTTACGTGAATCATATTCTGTCCATTTGATGCGTTTATTGAGACTATATAATGAGAATACGCGCACTATGTATTCCAATCTTCACCTACGATAATTCTGGAAGAATCTATGAGAGGAAATATTGACTTATTTGGAAAATGCGTTCCTTGGATTTAGCAGAGTAAGCTATCTTTAATTTAAATTGTCAGTACTTATCGGATTAGGTGAAGTTATTAAAGGACCTGAATATTTAAATAATTATATGGGACTAAGTGAGACGTCCGATTTATGGATTCATGTGATTGATTTGAAGTAAAATCATTTTAATTTAGAGCTGTGATTTTCCAGTGGGACTAACATAGTGGCACATAAACATATTATAAACTTTATTCGGAATACATTTGATCAGTTTTCTGATTAGTGAGGCATTTGTAGTACAATTAAGGGTAATATTATATTAATTCCATTATTATAATGTAGTCATTTTTAATTCAATTGCTTTTGTTTAATTTTATATTTTATTTTAAATAAGTTTAGAGTTTTAGGAAATAAAATTTTCGATTGGTTCACATAGACTTGATATTTAAAGGAGACCAGAAATAAAAAAAAGTTTCCTTTATGTATTTTAATCTACAAATCCTAATTGGACTCTAATGTTTATAAATTACATATCATAGTCAGGTAGTGATCATATTGCACGGAAGATACCACGATTTCGTAAATAACCAAGTTTTCCCGAGTTTTGATGAAACGATAGAACACGTGATCCCATGACACAATACTAGCCAGTCCTCGAATAGAATGAAAAACAGACAGGAGATCCGATCTGAGCTACACATTATTAAAAAGTTGAATCTGCTTCTGAGAGATGCTCATAACTATATTTGTTGAACTATGTGTTAAGAATTTTAAAATAGCAATGTAAGTTTAAAATAAATACTTATACATTGTGTTTTGCAAAAGTATGAGAAGGAAATATGAAAAGGATTAAGTGATGGTGTCCAACGAAAAATTTAAAACTTTACAACAATGCAATAAATTTATTTAAAAACAGATGAGACTTAATCGTATTATATATAAAATACATATGCATTACCTAACCTCAACACACCACCTTAGAACTAATACTTTGAAAATATAGATCTAAAACTGAAACACGACATAATACTTAATTCAGGATGAAAAGACTGGAATGGGTCCAGGCTTTTGTAGGAAATATTATCCATTATCGGTTAGGTGTAAAAGACATTGAAAACGGTTTCTATCGGTCGTTCAGCATTTGTTTGTTTGCTGTTGTTGTGTTAAAAACACACAAATAAATCCGCAAAGGAGACATGATAAGTAATTAGGCTACATATTAAGAAATTTCCTTCTTATGGTTCAAATACAGTACATTTTTCCATGCAGAATACAATTAGAGTATTGACAAATTTAATACTATATGCATGTCTGGTATAATAGTTTATGTACTGCACTGGTCCGTATTTAATGAAGTAAATGTTTAGGTACAGGTCTTGGGCTAGAGAAATCTATAGATTTTTCGCAGAGAACTCCAAATACATTATGTCATTATGTCAGTCAATTTCATTCTCAGTAAAAAAAACAACACCAAATTATGCACAATTAGATACAACGTATGCAATCCACATATGCCTATTTTATCACGTGTGAATAATGCAGTGATGAAATCAGCGCCGGATTTATCCAGATGCTAAACAAGCTACAGCTTAGGGCGTCACAGTCTAAACTCAGTCTGAAGGGGTCTATCAAATTTATTTTATACCAAATAGAGCCCTTACAGCTTCTCATAGCTTAAGGCATTCCTTCGTCTAAGTCCGGCACTGGACAAAATAATTAATACCACACGACAGTTCTTTTCGTCAATAAATAGTTATAAATATTATGTCAATATTAAACATTATTCACGTTAATTTCTGAGTTTTATTTAAAACCTCTACAACAGTACTATATAGCATACAAAATTTAACAAAAATGACACTAATTGACTTAAATCTCATTAAATGATCACTGTGAATGCTGTGTTATTGTGTCTGAAAACAAAATCGCATCTCCATTACCGTCAAAGTTAATTCGGCAAGTTAACATCTGAAAATCCTTTACCGTATAAGTAAAGTTTAATTTCCATGATTAAATTTAAAGAATGATTGAAACATAATATACCATAAAGTGTATGTGCCCCACCCCCACCTCCTAAAAACAGACCTCATTCAGAATAAATATTTTTTATTCAGTAAATCGTGTTACATGCCTACAGACTTAAACCTAAAGAAATAAAGTCGGACATAAAACATGGGAGAAAGAGTTGCCACGTGTACGGTGACTTGTGACTGCAGATTTGAACTGTCAAACTGAAGTCATATAGGCGTCGTACGTTATAACAAAATAGGAGATCGTTTATGTGCCAACCAATTTCTTAAACTTTTATATACACCCTGCCGAACATTGTCTAAATGGCAGTTCGTTTCACACGATAAATACAAGGATAAGGATCAACTGTTAATTATTTACACTGGCCTTTTTGCTTGTGTATTTTAGTCAAATCTGTAGCTATTCTGCAGTTTAGCCACAGATGAAAAGAATGTGAAAAAGGTGCTTGTCATGGAGGATTATAAGGCGTATCACAGATAGAACTGACGCGTCCCTTGATCTCTCGCACATTGGGCAAGGGGGTCGGGTCAACAGTTGCCTCTCCCCAATTTCTATTGTTGGTCATTTAATGCGAAACTTTGATTTTA